ATCCTATCAAATCAATGTGGGACAACTATATTGACAGAAACTAGGGAAAATAGTGCGGGCCCACTATCATGAAGCGCACCAAAACGGGAAAAATCCATATAAAGCCGAAATGGGATTCCATTCCAAAATCAATTGGTGAAATTGGTGGAAGGAGAAGTAGCTTATTAGACTTATAAAGTGAGTCTATTTTATATGTATGAATGATGTGGGACAACTCACAAGTGATATTCTAACACGCCCCCTCACTTGTGAGTCCTTCGAAAGCCTAAGTCCAACTGAACGGTTAATAATAGAACCGGCTATGATACCATTACATAAACTGGGGGAAAACGGGTGCGGGCCCACTATTATGAAGCGCACCAAAAGCAGGGAAAACCGATATGAAACTCAAATGAGGTTCCATCCCAAAACCAATTGGTGGAAGGAGAAGTAGCTCATTAGACTTATAAGGTGGATCTACTTTATATGTATGAATGATGTGGGACAATTCACATATATATATTACTGTCAGGAGTTTACATTTTTTTTCCAACACAATAATATGAATGGAAGATTATTTCAACAACCCTGACCAATTTATTTCATAAGTAAATTAGAAATAAAAAAAAATAAATTGCAAAATATGTCTGAGTAATTTAGACAGATGACAATTTTGGCCACAATTTTGTTCAATAATTTTGGTCATGGCAAAAATGTTGAGTATGTTTTTTGAAATTTGCCCAAATATGCCAGCAGTCGGTTATTTAGAGGATATTTTTTGCATCTTTAGGTATGTTTATTAGGTCATAAATGAATTACTTAACTAGGGCAGACAACCTCTCATTAATATAGGGAAATGCTACGGTCCTGTTACAGAATCATTCCGTCGGGATTTGTAACCGTCAGAGATAGTTGATCTAACGATTACAAACTCCGACGAATAGTTCCGTAACGGAACCGTAGCATCTCCCATATATATATATATATACTTTTCACTTAAATTTCATACATTACAATACTAATAATTAAAAGTACGACATTTTATTAAATAAATACACAATTTTTTTTATAAGAAAGTATGATAACTGTTATTCAATTTGGGGTAAATAATTGTTACTACACATACAGTTACTATTTGCATGCTCGACCACATCTTGACCATACACGTATCTTTTTTGTGGATGATCGGACAGTAAAAAAGTAGTCGAGCGTGCAAATAATTGTATATATGTAGTTCATATTGCATTTAAAAAAATTACTTTAAGTTGAAAATCTCTAAAACAAATATATTACAGGTTTGAAAGAAATTATTTACCTTTCAATCTAACAGTGTTCAAAATTACATTCATCATACATTCATACAATGGCCGAAATATTGATAAAATACACACACAAATACAGATACATATATATGCCTAGAATTTAGACACAGACTAAACAACAAATAGATAAAATACAAGACACAATTATTCCAAAAGCTAACATCCAAATCCAAACAACACACACAAATAAAATTAACATCACCGGAAAATTAAAAAAGAATAAAATAAAATAAAATATCAAGCGGCTGGCCTGGAGTTATTCTGAGAGCCTCTGCCGCCGCCTATCGGAGGCTGAGGCGGCGCCCTCCGCCCCGACCTCGTCGTAATCACCATCGACGGCGGATCAGCGGGCGGCGGCGGGCCAGCCCGAGGCCCATATTCGAAGCCCAAACACTTGAGCACGGCCCGAAAGAACTCTTTGCAGTAATTGCATGGGCTGGGCTTAAGCCAAAAGGGCCCTTGGCCACCACTTTTTGCAGCCTCGTTTTTGGTCTCATCATATGTTTCTCCCATCTNGAGGCATGCATTTCTTGGTAGTAATAAAGGAGGAGAAAACAAATCCAATAATTATATATATAGACGAATAGTGTAATTATTTAATTGTCCAAGTCTATCTCGTGTTTTTTTTTTTATATTTTTATTTTGCAAATGGGGACATTTTGACGGTGGCACATGGCTGCTTACGGGGTTTGGTTGGTAATTTGACTAAAATATTATTATTCCTGAATTTTGTGAGGTTGGTCACATAATTTATTTTATCATATATTAAAACATTCCCATAAATTGATGATGCAGCAAATGTGCATGCTTATTTCTTCAATTTTTTATAAGGTGAATTATATATGCTTTTTATTTATTCTCAATTCTTTATAAGGTGAAGTATATATGCCTTTTATTTCTTCAATTTTTTACGTGTGGTTCTTCCCATTTTTTTATACGGTGAAGTATATATGCCTTTTATTTCTTCAAATTTTTATAAGAAGTATATATACCTTTTATTTCTTCAATTTTTTATTAGGTGAAGTGTATATGTCTTTTATTTCTTCAATTTTTGACGTGTCGTTCTTCTCATTTTCATATGAGATAATGAAATAAATACATAAGTATGTGATAGTCAGTTTGATGGATGCGTACTTTCATTATTATTCATTTCAATCAAAATTAAATAGTTGTGATTACATTGGAAACAAAAGCATAATTAATGAGATTTAATTTGCAAATTAACTTTTTGTTTTGTAACATAGAACCGATCACTAAAGTTGTGTGATCCTTACTTTCGGGTATCTCTAACTATTTATTCAATTAGTCATGATAATCAAGTGTGGTAAGTGTGTTGTACAAGCAAATTAAAAGAAGCATACATGTAAATATTCTATACTTTTTTCTCACCTAACAATACTAACAAAATTATGAAATGAATAATAATTTTAAGAAAAATAAGAATCTCTAGGGCACGATTGTTCGAATTATGACTTACATTTATACAGTAGAAATCAAACTTAATGTATTAAGAATTCATGCCGAGTGGTATTCATTCGTAATTTTCAATCAGTTTATAAGATTTCAGGAATAATTATACAATTTAATTTGAAGTTTTTATTTTTTTTTAAAAGTATTCATTTAAAAATGTTAAAAGCCTTAAAAAGTGAAGGGACGTTAAATTTAGTTAGCACTCAAATTTATTTGGATTTTTTAGGGCGTGATTAATATGAATCAAACCGTTTTGGTTGGTTACAGTGAGTTATTTTGAATAAAGTTGATTGAATGAATAATTTTGAGTTTGTAATTAAAGAATATTTAAAATTTAATAATTAAAGTTGATGGAATGTAAAATATGAGAGATATTATTTGAAGTGATAAGTAATTACAATTAGTAGATATAAACTGATTAAAGTTGATATAATGTATGAGAGTCGATTAATATTATTTAATTATATCGATAAAAATAAGAGAGTTGAATTAAATTAAATTTTAATTAATATAAGATAACTCAATCAGTCAAATCGATTAAAATCGTTATGACTCATATCCATTCACGGCCTTAATACTTATTAGGATTTCAAACTCAAATTGCATGTACGAAAATTATAAACCAAAACTCACCTCCACACTTGTCATTCCAGGATCTCAGTAAAATAAAAAATTCTTAAATTCTTTTATTTTAAGAAGTTCTAAAATATTATTCAGTCACAAATGTACTATGTTTCCTTTTGTTGGCCTTGTAGTGGTTAAAGAGTCTCCAACTGTACTATTGAGCCTTATGCAACTTATAAAAGTCTCCCTTTTTTTTGTTATCTTGGGCCTGATAGAATGGGCCTGTTTTGTCAATATATATTTTGTCCATAAAAATTCACTACTTGTTTAAAAAACCCCTCTGATCTTAACTTTTGAAGGGAACTACATGGAAAACGAAGCGTATCAAAATCCTTCCAATCACATATTCAAATCATATAGCTCGAAATAGAATAATATATTTCAAATAACACAGAACNATTATAAGTTCATTAAATAAACACATAACTACAAACGGCTAAATAGTCGATTGAAAACAACTAATACAACTGACTTCAAAGAGGCTTGTACGACGAAAACACATGTAGTCTAGAAAACAGAAAAATAAAACAAAACGAGACAAAAGCTCCCGCAAGTGGAGAATCAAACTCCCAACAGAAGAATATAACACAAAAACAAATACAAAAAATAGAAAAGCACAAGAATACAATAAAAGTCCTAATAGTTAGACTAAGATCCATTATCCATACGCAACACCGAACAACTTCCACACGAACAAGTATTCAAACACAAACAACCAAAGAGAGAGACTCAATCCATGGCCCAACACATCGAATCTAGAAATTCTCCCTCCGACTAATTAGATTTGGACCAACGGATTGGAATTTAAAATCCCTCTCAAACTGATTAAAAGATATTAGAAATTTTAATTTGAAGACTTCTAATTAGTACAATTTCTTTTTTTCCCCATCATGTTTCTTATCATTAAGGTTTTTAAGTCATGTATGCTGGTCATGGTTGGTTAATGATTCGTAATCCATAAGTTTTTAATATATATATGTACAATAATATATATTTATATTCAAATAACATATTTTAAATACAATATAAGCAAATCTATGATATTCATACTATAAGTATATATTTTTTGTAATAAAATATGACTACCTAACAATTAGTCAACCTAGCAATACTATATTACTATTTGTACATTATTTTTACATGAACAATTTTTTAATGATAACACTTTTATATTTAAATGTCATACTTTAAACAATAAGTTAAATATTGTAAGTATGTAGTTTTATGAGTATTATAGGTGGAACTAGATTAAAACTTTTGTTACAATAATATTTGATAGATTGACTGTGCTGACTTATGCACTTTGACTACCTAATTGCAAGTTGACCCAACTTTTCTCCAGGTCCTTTGACTTGTTGTAATAGGTCATCTACTCTTAAGTCTTGGCAATAGGGTTTATATGCCCAAAATGTGTTGTGTATCTAATTCATGATTTTATATTTCACACAAATTTACAAACTTTACTGTCGAATTCCCAAAATAAAATTGAATAATAATATCATTCGAGGCTTTAAATTGAGTAATTGACAAATATCCTGAGAAAGTGATTTTGCTCAACCCAAAAAACAACTAATTAGAAATAAAATCAAATAAAAAAAAAAAAAAAAAAAGTGTACGGCTGACAGTCACAGTTGTGAGCGCGAAGCCGTTCAAGTCTATGGCAGCGGGCAGCCGGGCAGCCCCTTCCACCGTTTCGGGCAGCTCTCGAAAACACTGCACACACAGCGCGCACACACGCCCAAAAAGAGAAAAACGATAATTATCCCACACATTCGCATTCACTCATCTCCACACTTTGCAGAAAGAGAGAGGGAGAAGATTTGTAGAGAGAGAATGGAAAGGGGAAAAGGGTAAAGCGCAAAAGGTTTGCAGAGGGCCGTTAAAGGTGCTGAAGAACATATAATATTGATAATCAATGGAAGCCCCCTGATACAGAATTCGATTTTTTTATGCATACGAAAAAATCCCTTCTGAGTTAAAGTATCTTTACTTTTTCTTCCTTTTGTTATTTTTTTATTTTCCTGTTTTTTTCTCTTTTGGGGCCAGAGTTGTTGGGATCAGCTTCTTGGAAACCAATGTTGGTGAGCTTGGGCCGACTTTAGTACAATATCTTCTGGGTTTCGGGGTTTTATGTAAATGCTGTGCCTTATTTGTTCCGATCTGAGGTTTAGCCTAGTGGGCGTTTGAGCTTATATTCCTGCTCTATACGTAATTGTCAACATTTGTTATGCTTATTTTGGGGGTGATGAAAGAGTTGATGGGAAGAGAGGGCATGTTGCCCCTTGTGATTTGGCTGATCTTGGCGGTTCAACCTCTGAGGTGTATTTATGCTAATATGGAAGGTTTGTACTGTGCTCTCAAATTTGTGTTGTCTAGCTGGTGCTGATTTCAATTCAAGTTTCTACCTTTTTGGGTACCTTTTCTTGTAGTCTGTGTATGTTGTTTTTCTTCACAAGCTGTTCATTAATGGGTTTTAGAGTTTTAACTGTTTATTTGGAGTTTCCTTCTTGAGATGCCGAGCAATAGGGAAAATTTACGGTTTTGGACTGCGAGTCATTAATTGTGTGTGGTTTGATGTAACTATGAAGTGTAATCTGAAGAACCATAGAAGCTTAAACATAGTATATGTCATTATAGGATTACTGGTCAGAGCAATTCTTTTTTCTGCCAGGAATCTTGCATGCTGTGTCTGCAGTATGTTATGCTAGAAGTTAGGCCAATTTCTCATATAATATGTAACTGTTGCCAATATGCGTCTTGATAATCTACAATAGCTGTGAATAAGGAGTGGAAGTTAGGACAGGATTTCGTTTTAACTTTTGTGCTTGTTAATGTTTGGTAGGTGATGCTCTACATAATCTTAGGGCAAACTTACAAGATCCGAACAATGTGCTGCAAAGCTGGGACCCCACACTTGTCAACCCATGCACATGGTTCCATGTCACTTGCAACAATGATAACAGTGTGATTAGAGTGTAAGGATCCATGGTTCTGTCCCTTGTTTATGTTCAGTGTAATTTCTCCTTAGGCTATTTCATGATACTTTGTTAATTGAAATGTTGTCTAATATGGTTGCACTTGCATACCTTTTTTCTCCCAGTGATTTAGGGAATGCTGCTTTGTCCGGTCAATTGGTACCACAACTCGGCTTGTTGAAGAATTTGCAGTACCTGTATGTTTACTTGATTGGTTTAAAAGTTTCTCTGCCGCATGTCCCCATCTTCTTATTTATGTTTCTTACCTTTCACTGTTTGATTATGACTTCAGTGTGTGTCGTATAATTTTTAATTATCAAAGCGTATAGTTTTCCAGAAATGATATTATGTGATCGGTTGAAAAACTGCATTATGATTTGTTGTAGGAGTAAGAGTAAAGTCTTATGTTTTTTCTATTATAACATTGTCAACATCACCTTCCTTAGGATTATGAATTGACATGTTTATTTGTTTACTTCTGTTGTAAATATTTTTTGATATAGGAATTGACNAGGGAGCTATACAGTAATAACATAAGTGGGCCCATACCCAGTGATCTTGGGAATCTGACTAATTTGGTGAGCCTCGACCTGTACCTGAACAGATTCAGTGGTCCAATTCCAGACGCGTTGGGGAAGCTTCCGAAATTGCGTTTCCTGTGCGTAAATTTTATTCTTTGATTGGCCAATGTTAATGAATATGCGTTTTATGGTTGTGCCATAATGGACACAAGAACTATAAGATCTTTGAGGTTTATTTTAGTTAAGCAAAACTTTGTTCTGTTTCGAAATTACAACTAACCCCTTCATACGTTTCGAATATGCAAGTCACAGTATTATTAGAAGTAATTTGTTAAACAGGTGCAACCCTCCTGGGTGGGATGGTGCTGGGTGGGTTATCTGTCATGCCATATCTGAACTTCTGAAGTTCTGTACTTCTAAGAGATAACAACATTTTCTGTTGTGATTAATCTAAACTAACACAACAAACTCAGTAATGTATTTAATACAGGAATTTTTTGAGTTGCTGTAGGTATGCAAGCAATGAATAAACTTTAAATAGTAGCATGTCTATTTTGTCTGTTGTTAAAATTATTGATATATTTGTTATAAGAATTCTCCTTTGAATAGTTCATTTTGTATGCTGTGTATTGAATTTTATAATAGCATTTCAGACATTTGGACCTTACTCTTTGCTTTGTACTTTGTAAGGATAGCCGGCTCAATAACAACACCTTGACGGGTACTATCCCAATGTTGTTGACCAATATCTCAACCCTTCAAGTCTTGTGAGTGCCTAGAGCAGTTTTCAACTACTTACAAAGTCTGAAAATTATTATTAAAACAGCTTTACTGACTTTTCCTGTATCTATATCTTGATGTAGGGATCTCTCAAATAACCTTCTTTCAGGCGCAGTTCCTGATAATGGTTCATTTTCTTTGTTTACACCCATCAGGTAAGTCAATTATATGTTACCTAGCATATTTCTGAACTGAAACTTTAAATGCAATCTTTCAAATATCTCATACATGTAATTTTTCTTCCTTGACAGTTTTGCAAATAACCTGAATTTGTGCGGACCAGTCACTGGAAGACCATGCCCTGGATCTCCTCCATTCTCTCCACCCCCTCCATTTGTACCACCACCCCCAACTTCTTTGCCAGGTTCTNCTTCCCTTTTTTTGTCTGCATTTGGGACTTTAAACTCTTAGCATAAAGTGGTGCTGTCTGCCTTCATTTTTCCTTTCACCTTGATGTTCTGACTCCGATTGTTACTTGTAGCAAATACATTTCTCATTTCTTCTGAGACAATGAAAACTGTACAAGAACTTTGTGTATGAATGGCGAAGATTTAATTGTGCCATTATTACTCATTGGCGTTGCAGCATATATATGCAGAGTTTCTTACCAGTTACCAACTAAATGAGGTTTTTAGTTGCGTTGTTTACCCTGATTTTAGTTCCACACTTATATAAGTTGCACGTGCGGTGCTACATAGATTTTACCTGTGATTAAATGCCAGTTGTATTGACGATACTTGGCATTGTAAGGGTCGATTTGATAAATTTTAGAATCTTGATCTTTTCCATCTTACTATATACGTTCAAGCATATTTTCCTTTAACTAAATATTCAATAAAAAACGCAAGACTCAGTGTACTATTTTCATATTCTTTGTCAAGACACTCAAAATTGAACATAATGCACGCGCCACAGAGAAATCAGTTTTACCTCTCTGTCTTAAAAGGCGTGTTTGTTTCTCATTTTTTCAAGTACCGGCTTTGTATCATATTATGGTTAAAAATGATAGGATTCGATGGTTGTAACTTGTAAGATAGTCTTCTCAGTTAATGTATTTACCAAAAGACCCTTTCCTTTTGCACGTCAACTCTAGGTGGAAATAGTGCCACCGGAGCCATTGCCGGCGGAGTTGCCGCCGGTGCTGCTTTGCTATTCGCTGCCCCTGCCATCGCATTTGCATGGTGGCGCCGAAGAAAACCGCAGGATCAATTTTTCGACGTGCCAGGTCAGTCAGTCAATTATTTCAATATTTTTTTTAGTTTTCGCAATAATAATAATAATTAATACAAAAAATTAGCTTCAAGTAATTTTTTACTTTTGCAGCCGAGGAGGACCCCGAGGTTCACCTAGGACAGCTCAAGAGGTTTTCCCTCCGTGAGCTGCAAGTCGCAACCGATAGCTTCAGCAATAAGAACATTTTGGGGAGGGGCGGTTTCGGAAAAGTGTACAAGGGGCGGCTTGCCGACGGTTCTCTGGTGGCCGTCAAGAGACTCAAGGAGGAGAGGACACCTGGCGGGGAACTTCAGTTTCAGACGGAGGTCGAGATGATTAGCATGGCCGTACACCGTAATCTTCTCAGGCTGCGCGGCTTCTGCATGACACCAACCGAACGTCTGCTCGTCTATCCGTATATGGCTAACGGGAGTGTTGCATCGTGTTTGAGAGGTATATTATACCTTTATGGGATTTTTCTATTTTCTAAAAATAAGGGAATTGGGAAATTGNCGACATTGTTTACAGAACGACCACCTAACGAGCCTCCGCTCGATTGGCCGACAAGGAAGCGAATTGCACTGGGGTCCGCGAGAGGCTTGTCGTATTTGCACGACCATTGTGACCCGAAGATTATTCATCGTGACGTGAAGGCTGCAAATATACTGCTAGACGAGGAATTTGAGGCTGTGGTGGGAGATTTCGGTCTGGCCAAGCTCATGGATTATAAAGATACGCATGTGACTACCGCCGTTCGTGGCACTATTGGCCACATAGCTCCCGAGTACCTCTCGACTGGAAAATCATCCGAGAAAACAGATGTGTTCGGGTACGGGATTATGCTTCTCGAGCTGATAACTGGGCAAAGGGCTTTCGATCTGGCCCGCCTCGCGAATGACGATGATGTCATGTTACTCGATTGGGTACTACTCTCTCTCTCTCTCCAAGGGGCAAAATGGTCATTTTTTTTCCTTTTGAATTCGCAACTGGGTCGTTTCAAGATCTGATTTTTATGATGATGATGTCATGTTACTTGATTGGGTACTCTCTTTCTCTCTCCAAGGGGCAAAATGGTCATTTTCTTTTTCCTTTCGAATTTGCAACTTGGTCGTTTCAAGATCCGATTTTTTTCATGTGGAGCTGACGTATCGAGATTTTTCAGGTGAAAGGGCTTCTGAAAGAAAAGAAGCTCGAAATGCTGGTGGACCCGGACTTGCAGAGCAGATACGTAGGATCGGAGGTGGAGCAGCTGATCCAAGTGGCCCTGCTTTGCACTCAGAGTTCCCCAATGGACCGGCCTAAAATGTCGGAGGTTGTGAGAATGTTAGAAGGAGATGGATTGGCCGAGAAGTGGGACGAGTGGCAGAAAGTGGAGGTTCTTCGGCAGGAGGTGGAGCTTGCCGCACCACATCCGACCTCCGATTGGATTGTGGACTCTACCGAGAATTTGCATGCCGTTGAATTATCTGGTCCGAGGTGACAAATTCCTTCAAGCTACTACTATAAGCTGTTTATTAAATGATTTTTTTTTTTTTTTTTTTTTTANGAAGGATTTACTTTTATCTGGGTTAAGATTGTGAACCGAGCTCGGTTGTTGTATTTGTGCATAAATCGTGTGTAGTTTTGCACAGCTCTTTTGAAATCAATGGGCCCATTTTCGATTGACGATGAAGAAAAAGAATTCTTGAATTCTTGGTTCAGTTCTCTGCCTTCACGGCCGAAAAAGGGATTGATCAAATTCTATTGAGTGTCGTTTATCAAAAAATTGACTCTGGTTATCAAATAATTGAACAACCGGGAGCAATTTACGTAGGATACTGATTAGTTGACATGAGAATATGTCTTTAATTCTTTATTAAATTATGAATTCAGAGTTCAATACATCCTATTTAGCTTCGTACAACCATGTGAATCGGTTAAATATTTTGGGGGAGTTTTTGAGAGGTTCATGATCTTGATTAAGGTCGTATTTGGGTTTGATTTCTGACTCTTTATCTGATTGGACTAGCCGTTTGAGTGGATTGTGTGTTTATTAAAATAATTTTATCATTAAAAAAAAAAAGCAAAACAAAAAAAAAATGAAAAAAAAAAGATGGAAAGGAGGGTAATACCCAATTTTTACTCAAATTCAGTTCAATCACTATGCACTATTTTTCTAAGGTGCCTAAAAAAATCAGGACATAATCATCACATGCCATTTATTTAGTAATATATAATTAATTCACTGCCTTCCAATGCACGTAAAACAACAAAATTTCTTTCCGAATACAAATATTCAGCCCTAATTTAACATGTCTTTCTAATTAAACCAATTCGTCTTTCCCTTCTTTTTTTAGGAAAGCCTTCATAAGTACCCGATCACTATAAATTGAGCAGCAAAATCAAACCAACATGCACATGAAAACTTCTTCTCCATAGCACATACCAAAATATTCTACTACCAAGAAAACATTGTACACCAACAATGACCTTCAAGACCCTCAACTCAACCAAGAAAATATTCTACTACACTTTCTTCCCAACCAAAGAAGAAGAAGAATCATCAAAAACCCGGCCAGCACCCGGCCGCCGCCGCCAGATAATTGAGATCTGGGACGATTTCCGGCCACCGTCTGGTGGCAGTTGGCCGATAAACAAAACCCTGACCAAACTCGAAATTGAGTCCGGCAAGCTTGTTTTGTCATGCAACGACATGTTTGAATACGTCCTTAGGTATTGGCCCGTTGAGTTGGCAAAAAGCATCGTTAGCGAAGGGCAAAGGGTTTATGTTGCTGTTTGTGATGCCACACAAGAGCTTAAGTACCCAAGAAAGTATGGCATGGATCAAGCTTATGTGGAGATGGTGAAAAAGGACAATTTTGCCCTGGTGTGCATGACTTTGGTGAAGGATAGGAACTTGAAGATCTATGATGAGATTTCCTTAAAATGGGATGATAAAAGATTGTGTTTTATGTTCAAATTGTTATTGTTGTAGCATTGGTTAATTTGCCTGTTTGAGGATTGGACTTTTTAACTTTTTTTTTATAACATTTTTTGAAGTTCTTTATTAATTTGCATTTGGGTTTTGCAGATCTTGGCTGTTTGGTTGTGAAAGTTACATTATTTTGTAAATACTTGGCACAAAATATTTGAGCCCCTCCTTTTTCCCATTCACATGCAATACTTCCTATGGAATTTCAAAATTGTGGTTGGGTATGAATAATTCTATTTTTGTCTGGCTGGACGATATTTATTTCAATTAAGTTGTTGATGAAATTTTGTTAAAAAAAAAAAAAACCTTTTTTTTTTATTTCACTTTCTTTGTCTCTGATCATGTAATTCAAAAAATAAAAATCAATCACACTGCATATTAACAAGAAACACTATCAACCCTATTTAATCAATCGTATTTGTTGACTACCAATTTTTATATTATATCTAACTTTAATCATTATATATTCATCCTACTTTCATTAAGATCTAAAAATATTCCATTCCTAAAATTAACTTTTTTCCACTTATTTCCTTCTAATCCTCTCATATTTCTATACTCCCTCCGTTTAATGTTGTTGTAGAGAAGAATAAAAAAAAATTAAAAATTCATCTTACCTTCTATCAAGTATTCTAAATTTCATATTTCAATATTAATTTCCCAATCATCATTTTCTCTTATCATTTTTTAATTATTCTTTTTTGATAATTACTATATTCCCTTTCCATAATTTAAGATCATGTACATAATTAAAAGATTTTGTCTGAAACGATAAACAATCAACAATACAATATCAAACTTAAAAAGACAATTAAAAAATAATGGAGCGTTTTATTTGATGTCTGAAGCGATAAACAATCAACAATACAAAAGCACAGTGCCATAATCTAAGCAAAAATTATCTAAATCCACAAAAGCAGAGGAAAATTCAAAAATAGACTCAAAATAAAATTTTGTTGTTTTTTCCCAGTTAAAACTTACCGAAAATTATTTCCCTATACAGAATTTGCCAAATATGTTGGACAGAACTTCCTCTGAGATGTCCTCTCCGCTTATTTGGCCGAGGGCCAAAACAGCTTCTCTGAGGTCGATTGTCCAAAAATCGAGAGGTATCTCTTCCTCTATTGACGAAAGCAGCCTCACGAAAGCTTCTCTTGTCCGAACAAGCTGCTCACATTGCCTCTGACCAAAAATAAAATAAACTAAATTTCAGTTTAATTCCAAAAATAAACTTACCAAAAAAATTAAATAAATAAATAAAATTTGATGAGACATTGGCTAACCTGGTTAACAGTCCATGTTCGGCCGCCAGCAGGGATTTTATTCAGACCAACGAGCTCTACTATTGCAGACTCTAAATCCGAAATCCCTTGACCAGTCAATGCACACGTAAAAACATGCTCATTGAACGAGCTGGAAATTTTATCAACCCATTCACGAGATGATGTGGCGCAGTCAACTTTGTTGACCACCAGAACAACTGGAGAGTTTGATGACGATGCACTCTGCATTCCGAAAAAAAAAAAAAATATTATTAAGCACGATAGCTTTGTTGATCCTTCTTTCACCATCTTCAGGTTCAAAGAGTACCCAATACTCTATATAAAAAGCGGCTAGTTTTAAAAGTTCACTTAACCTTATTGCTTTGAATTCTTTCCAGAAGCTTCTCATCCTCTAAAGTCCACCCATCGGCTGCACTAACAGTCATGACAACGACATCAGCACTCGCGGCTACTGCTTCGGACCTTTCAACACCTTCAAAGAGCACAAAGTCGATAGCAAATTGAAATTAAAAGTAATATAATTATTTCTATCGATACAAGACTGAAACAAACCAAAAACATCATAAAGTCCTTGTTAAAATTCATTTAGAACCCAAATCTAGATACAAAGATAATATTGAGACCTCAAAATTTCTAACCAAGGTCAAATATTATTTCCAGTCGGATCCTAACTGAGGCCACAACACAGCAGCTTCAGTAAACACCAACACTTTGGAAATTTTAAGGAGAAGATTTTAGTGCTAACCGATTTTCTCGACCAGATTATCTGTGTCCCTAATTCCTGCTGTATCGAGAAGTGTGACGGGAATCCCAGCAACACTAATATTAGCCTCCACAATATCACGTGTTGTGCCAGCAATGTTGGTAACTATTGCTCTCTCACTCTGCATGCTAAATT